TGTATCTAGCTACATCTAGTCCGCCTTCATAAGCCCTTGCTTTGGAAGAAGCCCCCAAGGTCAGCGGTACCTGACAGGCTGTTGGTGGCTTGGCAAAGTCGACCACAAACATTGCCTCATCCATTTTGCAACGCATGAACGGTTTACCATCTGGAGCAGTAAGCACTGCTCCCCCGCTTTCAAGGCCAACCTTAACTCCTTTTCTGACGAGGAAGCCAAGGGACACTAGGTTGTGTGCGAGGTCGGGTGCATGCAGGGCATCCTCGAAAGTCATCTCGACTAACTCGCCATCGTGGATAGCCCATTTGCGCATGCGTCCTGTGCCAAGAATTCTGAACTTACACCCCTTGGCTGTCACCCCAGACATATCTGCCAAATTCGGGGGGTTGTATGATACGAAGTCCGCTCGGTTTGTGAAGAAGTGTCGGCTTGCTGCTGAGTCAGCATATGTGATAGTGTCTCCTTCCTCGGTGTGGGTGGTCAGGGTCGCAAAGGCCAAGCATCGGTGATTGCTTGCATTATCCGACGAGACGACTGTCGCGGAGTTAGCCTGTGGAGTGGCAGTGGCATTGGTGGTTGATGTATTTGATGGTACATTCCTGGTGGTGTTCTTGTTCTTACGCCACCATTCAGGGTACTGTCCTTCCATTCCTCCCCCTTTTCGGAAGCACTTTTCTTTCGCATGCCCAACGCACCCACAGTTGTCACATTTGATGTTCTTCTCGTTGCGGCCGGTGTTGGTCTGGGTGGCGAGGGCTTGTACAGTATTTGTTGGTGCTATTACGGATGGGCCATGGAGCAACAGAGCATGCGTTGTGAGTCTCACGGTTACTTCAGCCGATGACTTCATTTCAAAGAGCGCTCCCATGACAGGAGCCCAAGTGCTGGGCATCGATTTGATAATGTATGCTCAAAACCTTCTATCATCGATCCCTGCTCCCTGATCATTTGCTTTAGCCCATGCTGTTCGTGTGCTTCAATGTTCACGCCATCTCTGTATTTGATAGCGTTGAGTTCCTCCTTGGCCTGGAGGAGGCCCAGGTCTGATTTGGAGTCATGCAGGATTGTCAATGATGTCCAGGCTTCTGCTGCAGTCCCATCGAGCTTTACACCCACCCCAATTGGGTTAATAATGTTCAGGACAATCATACTGCGGGTGTATGCATCATGTTGCTGCCATTCATCTGGGGTCGGATCAGCTGCTCCCCACCAGGTAGTTGCTGTGGTCGGAATGGGTCACGCTTCGTCCCCTTCTCTTTTCAGTACGAGGTTTCCGATCTTTCCCTCTAAATAGTCCAGCAGTCCGCGTCTGCGCATGGCTTCAGTGATCGTGGTGTTAAACGCTGTCCAATTCGATCCATCAAATTTCTCTTCCGCCGGGAGCAGAAACAGTGCTGTACTCGACATATTGTCGTCTCGTGGTTCGGTGGTTCAATGTAAGGTTTTTTTTCGTTGAGTTGTTTACTTGATTACTGAGCAACGGGGCCCATAACCTGTTTTAGATAAGATCTCAGTCGGTTGGTAAACGACTATATTGCTGTAATCTATATACCTGTTTTAGATAAGATCTACCGGTATTTATCAGTTATGTGGTATTGTGTCATACGGGGTAGTGTGCACATACCTCAGTCAGTTGGTAAACAACTGAGGTATTTGGGTTCCCACTTCCAATCCGTAACCATAGAACTGTATAGTTTTTCCCCCTCTTATTTTTCCCTTTGCGGCGCACCTGTCACGTGGTTCACGTGCCACCCTAGAGGCATGCCGCGATCCTCTCCAATACGATACAATCAAAGTGGACCTTGACCCAGTGGACAACGGTATTCTCCTTCGAAGTAGACCTTCGTGTCTGAGACCTATGTACACGAGCGAGTCGAGGATGATGCAGAGACCGTGGACCTGGCTTTCACACCGGGAAGAGACAGCTAAGGAGATATCCATCAACATTGCAGCATCACTCATCGAATTCGGACGTTGAATCTCAAGTATCATTGTGTTGTGTGATTGCATAGCCTCAAAGTTTGATGAAGGAAGCGTGTGTTACTTCGACTGGCAGACAGGGAAGTGGCGGGTTGTGTGCGGATGGCAGGGGATGTGGAGGGGTAGTGAAGGTTGTGGGACACAGGTGTGAGTTGATGGGGAAGGACGAAATTGTGTCGGTTATCACCAAATTCGGACGTTGGTGGTTGGGTTGCCTTAACGAGGGAAGTGACCCTGTCCTGGTCTTCGCGAAGGACGCAGGAAGGACGAGCATCATTCATCAGTCGGGTGTCGGATTGAGTACTTGACATCATAGTAAGCCTCACACCCCTCCCTCCTGAACGTCACCCACAAGTCCTGTTCGATTAGTTGGTTAAATCATCTCGTTGTGGATGAAGTGCTCCGAGAAGCCGGAAGTTCGAATCCTCCACAGGACAATTTTTGCTGTCGGTTGTGGTGAGAAAGATTGGATAAAAGGCGCGGGTAAATCCGAAGAGGGTTTGCACTGACCACGGCGATGCCGAGTCTGT